CGCGAAAGCGAGGCGGCGGCGGGCGGATGGCGCGCGGGCTGCGCGGCGTCCGCGACGACCTCTCCGAGCTGGGGCGGCACCTGCTGGACATCGCCTGCTTCCTGCACCTGCCTCAACCCGGCGCACACCGACTCCCCGCCGCCCACCCCGACGGGCCTGGCCCCCGCCGCCGCGCTGCGCCGCTCCCCGTCCCCGCACCCGCCGTCCCCGTCGCTCCTCGCGGGCATCCTCTCCGACCTCGCCGAGATCGGCGGCTCCTTCCGCGGCGGCTTCTCCCGCGCCGCCGCGGCCCCTCGCCTCGCCGCCGCCGCCCGACCGTCCCGCCCCGCCGCGCTCGAGTCGCAGCAGGCCGCCGCATCCCCGCCTTCGCCTGCTGCTGCCGCGCCGATCGTAGATGATGTCGTGGGAGCTGCGCGTGCCCTCGCCGCGCGCCCCGAGGCGTGGATCGACTTCCCCGTGCTCGCCCTAGATGAGGGTAATTATCTTTTCTCGATTTCTGACACCTACACGATTGTTGCTACTTCTGCAAATATTGGCATCTGCCTACGCAGATTGCGCCTGTGCTGGTGCTTCCTGTGGAGTGGTTTCCTGGGGCGGGTGTAGAGGTTGCTGGTATGGGGTTGTTAGTTGTTACTCCACACAGTAGATTTTAGTGGAATTGAGAGCAGAGGAACTTAATTAGGCACTCAGATAGTACTCAGGATGTTTAAGATTAGTGCTCGTCGTGGGATAATGGCATGCGAGTGCATGTGTAACAAGTTATTACTTTGAGAGCATTGATGGATGTGATGATCAGAGGACGAATAGAAAAAAAATATCCAATGTTTCCAGCTTTAAATTTCGGGGTTTTACAGCTGTTCAGTGTGTTATTTGGTTTTTTAGCTCATTTGATTGACTATGAAGTTGCCTGGAATAGGCTGAAACAAAGTGGAGACTCTTATTATGTACGTACTATGCTTGGATGTTGGGAGTGTTTGTCCTGTATGCTGTATTGCTGCTGAGTACAGGTCTCGTGAAGTCATGATTTTGTTTTGTACTTTTGTTCCATCTTCCATGTGGTATTCATTATTATAGATTTGACTTCCTATTATATTAAATACACAAGAGTTAGTATAAATGAGATGCATTTATGGATTTTGAAGAATGGTGTACTGTTCTACATCTGTATAAGAGGTACTTTTTACATAAGCAACTATATTTAGTAAATTGCTTGACGTTTGAAAATAGATGACAAGATGCGTTGTTTTTTTCTGTGCAATACTTGGTCAAGTTTTTCTTCCCTACTCCTTGGATCAATTATGTATGGCATGATCATGACTGAAATCTTGAAAATACAGGCTTAGTACTGTGAGTTGTTTTACTTAGCTCCCGTTTAGAAGTATTATTTGTGGCTTTTATTCTTCTGTGCTATGCATTTTGTCTCTACTTCTATTAATGTCTTTTTGTGTGTGACTATTTTAGTCATACCATGATGTTGTTTTATTCTTTTGCAGATTCTGTAATCTCTGATATCCAAAGAGATCATATGGAATCCATTGAAAAACTTGTCCCAGATTTAGCATCTCTACGGGTAGGCTCTGCCCTTCTTACATGGATGAAGACATATTCTGGAAGATTTACTTTAGGTTGCTTGAGTCGAACATAATTGAGCATAGTTCTGAGGTATATTCATTTTTTGTGCAGCACTCTCTTGTAGCATACATTTGAATTTTGATGGTAGACCGCATTTTATATACTAGTTTTAGTTTGAATGAAACTTATGTGGTCTTGAAACTGAGATGTCATCATAGCATAGCCTGTTAGCAAAGTGAGCACGAAGCACATTTATACTAGTTTTCTTTTCCTTGTACATTTCATGTATTTATTAAGCCATACTTCTTTCTATAATATGGGAAACCTCTACGTCAAACGGGGTTCAAAATACTATGCATGTTCGAAATTACTACTCCCTCTATTCCAAATTATAAGATAAGATGTTTTGGCTTTTGTAGATACATTGCTTTTACTATGTATCTAACACAGTGTATATCTAAGTGCATAGCAAAAGCTATGTATCTAGAAAAGCCAAAATGTCACAAATTTGGAATGAAGGGAATAATTGATATTATTAATTTATTATTACAGAAAATCCCAACTTCTAGAGAAGCATAAATTACTAGAAAAACTCTTATTTTCAGCGGATTCTGTTGACTTAAAAATCACATTTATGGCATCACAAGTCGTTATATGTAGCAGATCACTATGAATTCTGGAATCATGCTAGGTTAGGCTGCCCAAACAGTTTGCATATCTTGTGAGCTTGTTGGGTATCTATATCGTTCAGCACTTCAGCTTCTAGTTTGGCTGCAAAGATTTGATCATACATTGGTGTGATCCATTTCGAGATGGATTTTATTTATGCATTGCAGAACTAACACAAACAATATCAGTGCCTAAGTAACAGTTTGTGTCATCAATCAAATGTCATCTTATTTCAGCAAGCAAATACTAGTATTTTAAGGATACAAAATAGGTCAGCAGATATTGATAACATGAGGTACTCCATAAATTGTATAAATGTTTTTGCTATAGCAGTGCTAGAAGAATAGATTGTGTGCACTATGCACTGAAACAATGTTGCTGAACCGATTGGAAATGTGAATCCCATTGCAGTCATTCTAATATATTTTGTTCTTCATTATACATACAGAATGTTTTGTTGCCTTATAAAACATGGATTGCACCACTGAGTTCACAGCTGAAAATCTTAATCTTCCGTATGCACTAGGAATGCAACAGAAATGAAATTAAATGTATAGAATTTTCCTTTATAGGAACTGGTATCTCATTAGGTGAAGTGTGAATTTGTACCAGAATTTGCACGGTCTTTGATCTACAATATCTTTGACCACTGAATTATTTTCTAGAATATATTCTCGTAACTCAGTGCAGTGGTGAGAGCTGTCTCACTCCAGGTCGTGGGTTCAAGCAGCCTCTCCATGATTTTGCAGGGGGAAGGCTTGCCTCGTTTTTCCTTCCCAGCACCCCACTCATGTGGGAGCCTCCGGCACCTGGTCTGCCCCTTTTATATTCTCGAACCCTTCAACTTTATGAGATTTAACTAACAAGTATTTTCAATACAATTCTACACCATAAACTTGCATGATTTGAAACAAAATAATTTAAAATTTATTGATGTTTGTAGTTTTAAAGGTTTGACTAAATATTGTCCCAAACATGTTTTTATGACCGGAGAAAGTATTTGCGTATGATAGTCATCTCTCATCAGTGCCTGTATGCAAGACCAGTATTAAATCTTGCATTTTGTCAGATTACAAAATCGGTTGCTACCTTACATCCTATGGATTCACTATGTTGGTATGCGTGCTTGTTTGCTTGCTGACCTGGGAAACATGTTTGGCCCACGCAGCATTCGCAGGTGTTATAATTTCCAACGCCTGGGGTTGATCAAGCTGCCTGGCCAGCAGCCCCCAGGCTAGGGAAGCAACCAAGCACCATGCACATTGCCAATAGTGTCTAGACTTCCATATTTTACTGTTATTAGTTGCTATTTTGACTATCCTCTGGAGGCAGTTTCCCCATTTGCCCTAATGTAGACTGGACACTGGAGTGCTGAATATGTTGTCAATGATGAATGATCTTTGGGCTTAATAAGATCATCTTTAAGCTTCTCCACAAAGCAGCATCTCTGAAAAACGAACTAATAAATTGAGTTATGTGTTATATGATACGATAATGTATCCTTATTAATCTTTTTACTAATTAGTAATTATTAATTCTTCGTGCAGGAAGATACCCAGAGCGTGCCAAATTCTGTACATCACAACAATGAGATAGAGTCAGATTCTCCACCTCACGTCTGTGAGATAGAAAGTGTAAAAAGCAACCAAGAAGGGTATCAATCTTGGATGGCCGTGCTTTGCCCAAGACAAGATCTGAGCGAAGCATTGACCAATGGGTATTTGCAAAGTCGAAATCTGAGGAAAGCATGGATCAGTGGTCTGAAATACCTTCAGATGTGGAATCCTACAGAGAAGGTAAAAGATACCTCAGTAGCGAGGAGCTGAGCGACGTTGATAGTGCCAACGTCGTTGTCATGGACAAATACATGGATTCACTTCTCTCTGACCGGAGGCACCTCCCTATGCTAGCTCCTCAGTGCGCCAGGATTCAGTCAGACGAAAACCTGCTTCATCCAGCCATCGGCCTCCACAGCCAACTCCACCTGTATCACTGTCAAAGAAGGAATCATGGGATGTCATTGAAGACTCGGAGTTTGATATACTTGACAGTTAGTAATTGAGATCTTTGCGATCTCAGGTCTGTTTATCCTTCTATTTTCTTCCATGTTTCCCCACACTTCACCTGGTTTGTAAATGTGGACGTGCAGGTGGCGTTAGTGATAGTGGGAAAGGATAAATGATCTTTTTACCAATATATTATAAGTGTCAGTGTGTGCATATAAATCTTCTCAGCTCGCAAGCTGTAAGCCTGTAACCTGAGAAAATTGTGATGAATCTGTCCGCCATTTAGCTAGTTGCCAAATGGGGATGGTATTTGCCTCCCAATTCCTAAGTTAAAAGTGTTTCATGTGTTGGCATCGTTGTTTGCTTCCGATATTTCTTCATTGCAGAACAGGAAATTGCCCTCATACCATTGCAAAAATCTTCGTATCTCTGATTTGCCATCACAAAATCGAATATCCCATACATAGCAAATTTTTTTGGGCAAATTTCTACCCTTATATTCCACTGTTGACTATAGTCAACTTATAAAAGACTGAAAAAACATAAATTTCACTGAAGGGCAAGCAATAGAAGAGAAGACAACGATCTGCTCTTGGAGTTCAGATAGAAACAAATTGAAGGAATCCCGTAGAAACAAAAGAGAAGACAACGATCTACTTCATTTTTTTTTCTAAAATGCAAGCTGTTTTTGTTCACATTTATGTAACTTTGTGCAGCATCAACTTAGTTACACTAAATTCAGCACAATATATATATGTTCTATTAACATGGTCGTTTGAGAAGTTCAACATAGCACAAACATAGACCGAGTATTTTAACGAAGCAGCAGTAGCATTACAACGAAAGCTGGATCCACACCGTTTGGAATTCAACCTACTGGGCATTTGGTTCAAAACAGATCATCGCCATGTCAAGGTGGATCCAAAAGACGAGCTAATCCTGGCAGGGAGCCTGCTAGCTACTATAGAAATTTACAGAAGTTTCACTGCAATTAGTTCGTCCAAACGGCACAGCTACTGAAACCCGCCAGGAGGCACGAACAGCTGAGCCGCGTCGATGTCAGGGCGGAGCCGCAGCGCGACGCACTTCATGTCCTCCATGCCCCGCTCATACCCCTTGAGTGCCTCCTCCACCGCCGCCGCCTTTGGCTTTCTCCAGCTCCTCCTGGAGCTTCAGCGCGTGCCCCAACGAGCACGTCGCGTAGTTCGCCGCCTGCATTACTACGTGCACCCACGCCGCGAGGCGCCGCCAAGGATCAGGATCGAACCTGGAGCGTCGCGATGTAGCTCGTCGCGATGACGGAGAAGGGATCCGCCACCAAGAACGAGCGCTCCCGCGCCGGCGTGATGACGCCCTGCAGAAGCTGCCGCGCCGCCTCCCACCCGACCGTGTCGCCGTCATGTCTGTCCGGGGCGTGCTGCAGCTTTCGTTTTTGGCGCGTGGAGAAGCCGGGCGGGACAGACACCCACCCGTGACCAGTGGCCTCCTTTGTGTTGTTCTCCGCCGCCGGCGGAGCGCTGCAGCCGGGCTCACTCTTCACGGCGACCTTCGCCGCTGCCGCCGCCTCGGCGGCCGCCTTCTCTGCCCGCATGTTCTGCATCATGGCATAGGTTGATGGATCCATCCCTAGCTCACAGTGACACAGCAGTGAATCATTTGCTCCACCGGGTGTCAAGCTCAAAGCTCAAGGATGGTGTACGACATTTTACCTTTGGCGCCAGTAGCACGATAGGGGGATATTTAATTTTTTTTCACCGTAACGGACGGCTCCTCCTCAAATAACAGTTTTAGCGCTACGTTTTTAACAGCAAAGAGAGAAAAATGATACATATTTACCACTTTTGTTCGTGTAGCTCGTCAATTTCGCTGTCCAGCTCGGATCCGAGTTAGGAGGCTCAGGTAAAAAGACCTCCCCTGCCCCTGGCGTCTTTATCCTCCCCGCGCGGCCCGGCGCACTACTCTCCCTCCCTCCTCCGTCTTTCTCTGCTCCGTGCAACGCCCGTCCGTCACCGCCGCCGTCGCCGCAGTGTAAACCCGCCGCATTAGGATATGTACCGATGTATGGTGTAATGAAGTGACAATGTACAGATGAATGGAAATGCAAAATGTGCTTGAATGGAAATGAAATTTCTGGTTGAATGTGTGTTTAGTGCCAGATTTTGGGCATATCAAAACATAGCAGCAGTACACAAACCATTAACCATAACTCATCATACAAAGTAACCAGCTAGTATGAACCAAATAAGGTCAAACACAATGATGAGATGAAACACATTCATTAAATGACATTAACCAGCGGTACTAAATCCAATGACATGAAACACACAAAGTTTTGCCACACATATTATTCTGGCCACACACACTGAGCTGGCCACGTACATTGTTTTTGGCTACATACATATCCATGTTCTGGCCAACAGAAGGTCTTAGTTATACAAAAGAGACAATTTTTGGGCCTTTACAATCTAAATGAATTTGTCCTTGATGGTGCTCTCATTTTTTCTTTTTGTTGGCTGGGCTCTTCCTCACCTTTGTAGCTAGCTGTTTCTTCCTTGGAGTCATTTTCTTAGGTGGTGGGTCCACATATGCACTTGCTGTTTCATCTACCTCATTCACAACTTGTAGATCCCAGCAGAGATTCCTGTTGAATGCAAGACATGTTATCAGAATGGCATCAGTAAGTTTTGGTCAAGCATGTATTTTGAAGTAGGGCATACCTTCTAGTTGCTGCAGTGGTTGAAGGTGGTGCATGCTCAACCTCAATTGGCGCCATATCTAGGACTTCTCTCTCTGCAGCAGTTGTAGCTGCTGCCAGTGTGGTTACCGAAGCCAAGATGGTGTCCACCGACGATATGGAGATCCCAAAGCTGGAGCCTCCTCGCACCTCCGCCAAGTCCAAGGAAGTCAAGGAGGTCGGCCTCAGCCTCGACGACCCCTCCAAGACCATGAAGATTGGGGCTCACCTTGACCCAAAATGGGAAAGCGCGCTCGTCTCCTTCCTACGTGCCAAACGCCGACGTGTTTGCTTAGAAACCTACAGACATGCCGGGGGTACCACGGGAGAAGATCGAGCACTCCTTGAACGTCTTGCCGACCACCAAACTGATCAAGCAGAAACTCTGCCGATTCACGCCAGACAAGAAGGAGGCTATTAGGGTAGAAATAAGATGGCTCTTAGCTGCCGGATTTATAAAAGAAGTGTATCATCCTGAGTGGTTAGCAAACCCTGTTCTCGTTCAAAAAAAGAATAAAGAATGGAGAATGTGTGTTGATTACACTGATCTCAACAAGCACTGCCCTAAGGACCCCTTCGGTCTGCCTCGTATAGACGAGGTTGTAGACTCCACTACCGGCTGCGAACTGCTCTCCTTCCTTGACTGTTACTCCGGCTATCACCAGATCTCCATCAAGGAAGAAGACCAGATCAAGACGTCTTTCATCATGCCCTTCGGGGCGTACTGCTACACCACCATGTCCTTCGGACTAAAGAACACCGGGGCGACTTATCAAAGGGCTATCCAGATGTGCCTCGATCAACAGATCGGCTGCAACGTCGAAGCTTACATCGACGACGTGGTCGTCAAGTCCAAGACCTCCGATGAGCTTATCGTCGATCTCGAAGAAATATTCGCCAACCTGAAAAAGTACCGATGGAAGTTGAACCCTTCAAAGTGCATCTTTGGAGTTCCATCCGGTATACTGCTGGGCTACATCGTCAGCGCTCGCGGCATCAAACCCAACCCTGACAAGGTCTCCGCTATGACCAACATGAAACAACCAACATGCGTCAAGGATATACAGAAACTTACAGGCTACATGGCTGCTTTAAGCCGCTTCATATCGCACCTCGGTGAAAAAGGGCTACCATTCTTCAAACTCCTCAAGGCCTCCGAGCGTTTTTCTTGGTCGGAGGAGGCAGATACAGCTTTCGAGCAGCTCAAGTTGTTTCTAACAAAGCCTCTGATCATGACGGCACCATGGCCGGATGAAACTCTCCTGATCTACATTACCGCTATCTCTCGCGTCGTCAGCACAACTATCATGGTCGAACGCGAGGAGGCCGGGCACGCTTATAAGGTGCAACGTCATGTATATTTCATCAGCAAGGTCCTTAACAAGCCCAAAACTCGTTATCCTCAGGTCCAAAAGCTGCTATATGCCATTCTGATTATGTCACACAAGCTCCGTCACTACTTTGAGTATTACAAGATTGCCGTGGTCACCGAGTTCCCTCTTGGGGACATCCTTCGCAACAAAGAGGCCAACGGCCGTATCATCAAGTGGGCTGTTGAGCTCGGCACTTACTCCATTGATTTCAGAAGCAGGCCTACGATCAAGTCATAGGCGCTTGCTGATTTTGTCGCTGAGTGGACCGAGATCCAAGAGCCCATCGCCGCCACCTGCCCCAAGCATGGGGTGATGTACTTTGACGGTGCCCTTAACATCAACGGTGCTGGTGCGGGCATTCTGTTCATTACGCCGACCAAGGATAAGCTCCGATACGTTCTCCGGATACACTTTCCGGCTTCCAACAATGCCGCCGAATATGAAGCATGTCTCCACGGACTCCATATAGCCGTTGAGCTCGGCGTCAAACGCCTCATGGTATACAGGGACTCTACACTGGTCATCAACCAGCTTAACAAAGACTGGTCTTGCTCCAGCGAGAGGATGGATGCATATTGCGCTGAAATCAGGAAGCTTGAAGGAAAATTCTACGGCATCGAGTACCACCACGTGGTACGCGACCAGAATTAGCTCGCCAACCATTTATCCAAGTTGGGCTCTTCTCACGCCGCGATCCCGCCAGGGGTCTTCATTCAAGATCTCCTAGCACCATCTATCAAGGAAGAGAAAGAAGTTCAGGAAATTCCCCTCGCCGAGCAGCTGGTACTTACACTACCTTCGCCGGCCGTCGATTGGAAGGAGCAATTCATCAAGTACCTCACCAGCGCCGAGGTACCCGCCAATAAGACTGAAACCAAACGCCTAATTCATCGAAGCAAGCATTATATGCTGGTGGACGGCAACTTGATGAGAAAAAGTGCCAAGGAAGGGATACTGCAGAAATACATCACCCAAGAAGAGGGAGTGAAGCTACTTCTCGAAATTCACTATGGTTCCTACGGCAACCACGCAGCCTCGAGAACACTGGTCGGCAAGGCTTTTCGAGCTGGTTTCTATTGGCCCACAGCCATCTCCGATGCAGAAGACCTCGTCCGACGTTGTGAAGGATGCCAATTTTTTGCCATGCAAATACACGTGCCGGCACAAGAGCTGCAAACTATCCTAGCTTCCTGGCCCTTCACATGCTGGGGACTAGATATGATTGGCCTTCCAAGCCAGCGCCAGGTGGTTTCTGGTACGTGTATGTCGCCATTGACAAGTTCTCCAAGTGGATTGAGTATAAACCGCTCGTCTCGGCCACTACAAAGAAAGCAGTCAAGCTCTTCGAGGACATCATCCATAGATTTGGTCTCCCGAACAGCATCATCACCGACCTCGGAACTACATTTACTGGCCATCACTTTTGGGACTTCTGCGAAGACCGATGCATCTCTGTCAAATATGTCTCCGTTACCCATCCTAGAGCCAACGGCTAGGTCAAACGGGCGAACGACATGATTCTGTTGACACTGTTTTTTTGCACGTGTCAAAATGATCAGAGTGGGCTAATCGGCAGGAGGAAAGTTACTGTATACGCTGACAGCCGATGAAAATTAGCTTGTAAAGATGGTTGCCGATGAATGGTGGTGATCGATGGAAAGGTTGATTTAGACTCGGGCGTTGCCGATAAGGTTGGAGATGTTAGTGTCGATGCCGATGAAGGAAGGCTTGAAAACTACTGTCGATGAAACAGGAAGTATGCCGATGGAAAGGAGGTCGGTGAGAATTCCATCGTAATTGAGGCGGACAGGGAAATAGATAGGAGTTGATTTCCTTTTCTATATTTGTTAGAGTATGATTCATGTAAGAGTCACGTGTTTCCTTAGATATGGACTTGGTGTCCTAGCCGTATTTGGTTATGTCTCTTTAGATCAGGGTATAAATATAGATTGAGGGGCAATGTAATATAGATCAATCAATATCAAAACCAATTTTTACTCCTATTTGCATCTACTTACTTTTTGGCGACTTCGTCAATTTGCATATTTTTTTCCTTTTTACGAGTTCTCATTGATTCGGCGAGTTGCATCGCTTCAGTGCGACCTTCGGTGATTCTCGAGTTCCGCGTGAGTACCTCTTGGCCGTGACTTCCGGGCGTATCGCTGTTGTTAGGACCAAAGTGCTCGTATCTTCATCCTTGTCGATTAACAGGTCAAATCGACTGGCACGCTTTGGATATCGATTCGGGTATTAGCCCTTTGTGTTTGCAGATCCACTTTTGCATCAACACATCTTTTGGCACGCCCAGTGGGACAAATCAATCCGATCAATATGTTGAATCCCGAGATCGATTCAGGGAACATTATCGTGGTATCGAAGAAGAAGATCTTAAGGAAGAAGCGAGGCGGGCTATGGAAAAGGCTATAGAAGAATACAGATGACTTTTGTGCGAGATCGTTTAGCTTTGAACAAGAGTGGGCAAGTCATCCGAAAGCAAGATTTGCCGTTGCCTCGGCGAGTTACCTTTGACTCAATCTGGTAAACTTCAAGAGATGGTTAATTCTGCGATAAATCATGCTTTGATTAATCATTCCAATGTCTTTGTCAATCTTGTTCATAATCTTTGTGGTTCGAACTCTCAAAGAAGGACAAGCGTCACCGCATTACGTTGGGCACGCCTATCACCAACCGAGCCGGCATCATCAATACTCCATCGGCTCCCTCGGCCGTTGTGGGTATAGAAGTTACTTCTCCTCCGATGTCGGCGAGGCTTACCTAATATTCAATCTACACCGATACGATCGATCCGGTACTACCAGGAGGACGAGTTCAACTTAATACAGATCTATCGGCATCACTATGTCGAGCCCTCATGTCTCGAGAATAGCGATTCCTGCTAATTGGTGGGGATATGGTATGCCTCCGAGTCATCTCGCTTTTCAATCTGGGTTACCTCAAGTGTTTGATGCGAGAGGAAAAGCTCCTATACCATTGGTTGTTTAAATCGATGGCTCAAGTGCCTCAATATGCCACAAAGAACTCATTTGTGCAACCAACTCCGGAGGTTTCTAGATGCCTTTGGTTCAAACACCCAATTCAAGTCCATCGGCAAGCTTATGCCGATGCAGTGAAAAGCCCCTGCTATGAGTCAAACCGGTTCGATTCATGCCTCAAGTGGTTATAATTATCCAACAATGTCGACAAATTACCACCATCGGTAAGTTTTGTACCGATGAGTTCTAATAATGGTTGGTCGTGATGACGATTTACTGCTCAACATGCGCTTCAAAGAAAATTAGCGGTTTGCGAGGATTCAACAAGGTCATATGCAAGTTTGGTTTCAGAATCAAGCATCGGCATTTCGGTAGATGAATCCTTTCCAAAGAGGTTAATGGACCACAAGTAACAGCAAATATGCCGATTCTTTGGAGATCGTGGGCCACAAAGATATGTTGAGGATATCGTGGTACCTCCCTTAGAAATTCAGCCGTTAAATCGGGAGGCTGATGCTTTTTGAGCCAATAAGATAGCGAAATTATGAAGGATCGGTTTGGGATAAAGCCCAAGGTCAATACTTATTCTTATCGGACTCCATACCCTCCTGCATATGATTTAATTCCTCTCCCAAATCGGTACAAGGTACCAGATTTCACTAAATTCTCTGGG